CTAACTCTCTTGGGCTCTTATTAGTATAGTAGATAGTAGATAGTAGATAGTAGATAGTAGATATATAAAAACAAAATCCTGAAATTTTAACTTCCCGCCCAATTCCTAAAAAATCTCTCTTCCTAATAAAATATATTGATTTCTACTTTCCCATTCGTACAATAATTATGGATTAAAATTCTATTCTTCCCCCAAAAGGTTGAATCCCCAACCCTAAAAAAGGAGAAGACTCAGTCCAATGGACTATAAGGGGTTTGGTGAGACAATAAAAATTATATTCTAATATTATAAAATTGTGTAATACTATTCCTATTCTAATCTATATCTATACTATATATCAGTGTCGCAAAAATCGCGCCGCTAGCTGCGACGAGAAAGGCCGGAATCGGCCTCCTCCGCGGCCGCCTCGCCGGCTGAACCGGCAATTAATTTTTATTTTATTAAGTTGTAAAGTGTCAAAAGTTCGGCAAGGCATAACTTTTGACCCGATTGTCCGTTTTGGACAAATGTTTTTTTGAAATTGCGTATTTTTTCGAGATCTATCCACAACAGCCCACCAATTTCTAAAAAAAATGCTTTATTAAATAGTTTCTAAGAAAAAACTATGAGAACATTATGTTTTATTAATGAATTTTTAAAATTTTTAATTAAAAAATTGTCACGTGCATTATTTAATAATCTCTCTTTATAATTGATCAAATTATTTAATTATGGTAAATTAGGGAATAATTAATGATGGTAATAGAAATCCTAGAAGAATATAGAATTGAAGAATATTTAATTATTGTTATATTATTATTGTGACTCACGGAATACAATACAAGAATATTTAATTATGGTTATATTATTATTGTGCCTCACGGCCATTATATACTAACAGAACTTGAAAAGAAACTAATAATAATATAATAATAATAATCTAAGTGGTAATAATAATATCTAAAAGTAATTAAGTGTTAATAATAATAGTAAGAATATTAACGTAAGAATTATAACATAGAATTAATCGTAATAATTAATAACTATAGTCTAGGATTAAATTTGGAATTGTCAGAAAAGATAAGCGACCTCTGGTAAAATTAACTCTTAAATAATTATATATCGATTTAAATATTCTTAATATATTACAACAATTCTATTCCGTGCATCGCACGGGTAAAAATACTAATAGAAAAATAAAAAAAAAATTTAAAAATGAATTAAACAAGATAATAATGAAGTGTATAAAATTATGTCTCGACACGATTGTGTTATGTTATTAAACTCTATTATTATTGCTTTATTAGTTTGTTCGGAGATCAACCCCCTCACAGTTATGCCTCTTGGTGAATGGGTGCGTACCAACTGTGTGAGCACTTTGACAAACAGCCACTGGAATACCCTCTTCCCAAATCCCACATGTGCTATGGAACATGTGGAAAGCCAGAAATGAACTTGTCTTTAACCGTACCACTCACGCATCCCTGCGGCGGAGATCTATAGACGTGCGCGGAAGGAAGCTCGATGGTACCTTACTAAGCACGCGGCGCTCTTGGGAGGAAGACATCTTTGGCCGGGTTCATTGGTCTCAAGCTGAATACAGATGGAGCGAGGAAGGCGAGGCAAATTATTGTATGGACCATGGTCCACACAATGTTATGTGGACCATAACAAAAAGTACATTTTTAATGTATTAAATGTACATTATTTTTGTACAGAATGTACATTATATAATATAATGTACACTCAGAACAAAAATAATGTATATCCCCTGTATACAATATACATTATCTTTGTACTGAATGTATATTATTTTTGTATTGAATATACATTATTTTATTGTAGACAAAATATGGTCCACACAACTTGTATGGACCATGGTCCACACAATAATGATTGGGAAGGCGACGTCTGGGTTGGCCAGCGCTGGATGGTGGGCTTATTCGGGATAATCATGGTAACTGGATCGCAGGCTTCGTAACAAAGATCGGCATTACAAGCAGTTTCATTGCCGAGCTATGGGGGCTTCGAGAGGGGCTCGTACTTGCCAAGAATGAAGGGTTTGTACGTGAAGCTAATTGCAGAATCGGACTCCGAAGCCTTAGTCCAAGCCGTCAACAATTATTCAGGTTCCAGACCAGAAGCCAGTACGTTAATCACAGACTGTAAGGACCTGATGGGATGTTTCCAAGAGTTTGAGCTCGTACATGTTCTGCGAGAAGGAAATCAATGCGCAGACTTTCTAGCCAATTTGGACCAGCAAAATACTTGGGGGACCTCGGTCTTATTGCATCTGCCAGACGGGATGGATGACCTTTTGGCTCGGAATGCCAATCTCGTCTCTACAAGAAGAATCTCTTAAATTTTTTTATTTTTTTTTTTCTCTTTTCTCTGGGGCTCTTAAGCTCCTCTTTCTCTACCAAAAAAAAATGTGGAGGATAGAAAATAAAAAATAAAAATCACCTGACAAGACATTAATTGTTATAAAAAATGTGAGATTCACCAAAGAATTAAAACATCACTTCGCACCATGGTTGCGTGAAGCGCAACATAGTGCCCATTGGCCAGCCGAGCCGGGCAAGTTAATGCCGCCTTTTTTTCCCTCCTTTTTGTTTTTGTTTTGTTTTTTTTTTGTTTTTTAATTTGTTTTGTTTTTTGTTTTTCTCATCCCTTTCATTGTTTCTTTCATAGTTACACATGTAAAAACTTTTCAAAAAACATAACTATTGAGGATGCTCTAAGTGCTTAGGAGTGCTAGTCTATTTGCAAAAACAATTGAATATATATTCGAGAGAAAAAATGACTGTTAGCTAATTGAGTTAATTAAAAGGTATAACTAGTTGATAATATTAGCTGATTGTAAAAAAATATTTGGTAAATTAGTTAGCTGATAATTGTTTAGTATAATTTATTTTCTTAAAAAACTAATTGAAAAAGTTGCAATCGTTATGCCATGGAACCGTGTTCAAGGTGAACACGGTCCCAACGGTGTTAGTGCACCGTTATTTTTTTTTTCTCCTTAATTAATCGCGCGACTTTTCTTCTTCATTTTCACATTTCGCGGTTTCACTTTAATTTGAGGTGAGCAATGATTTCGGACATTCATACATTATGAATCCATGCCCGCACATTCACTTTGGAACCATGCCTACACATTCCCGTCCGAAACCATGGTTGCTCCTCTGTAGCACAAGCTTCTTCAACATTCATAAATTATGAATTTTCTGTTATGAGATTATGAATTTATAGTACATTCATAATCTCATAACAGAAAATTCATAATCTGACCAAACGCGTGCCGTTAACACCACATTCGCGATTTTTTTTTTTTAACGTAAAAACGGCGCCGTTTGGACCCGTGTTCACCATTCCTGGTGAACACGTTTCCAGGGTATAATTTACCAAAAAGTTGATTTGAGTAGCTTTTTAAATTTTAGCATTTTAGAGTTACAAAAAAACTTTTTAAGTTTTAGCATTTAATTAACCGAACACTTATATTAATTTTTTAACAAAATTAAATAACTGGTTTTTTTGTTGAATGCTACTGGCTCAACAGATATACTTAACTTACAAAGAACCAATAACGCATCCACTAAGGTTCAAACTCACAACCTTTCAAATGAAAGTCCAACCCAAGTACCATTAGATCACATAATTTTGATAAATAACTAATAGTGGTTAAATAAGTTAAAATTCACTTAGGCTAATTATTTACCAAAGAGGCCAAATATCTACTGACTATTGACTTCACCTGAATTTTCAGTCATTTTCTATCTTCTTTTCCATCAGAAACCCCTAAACCTGCTCGACCTATCCCGGAAGATAGCGTGATTGAGTCGAATCTATTCGAAACGAGCGAGAATCGATGAAGGCAGATGCCGATGGGCCGCCGCACAGAGAGCTCTATGCTCTGCTCAACATATCACCTGAAGCCTCAACGGAAGAAATCCGGAAAGCTTATCGCCAATGGGCACAAGTCTATCACCCCGATAAATATCAAGCTCCTCAGGTTTCGCTTCAGATACACACACACACACACACACACACACACAAGTCTATATATATGTTTTTGGTTCTTTATATTTTCTCTTACATTCAATTTTTATCCACCCGTTTTAGTAATATATCATTTCATTTGAATATATCAAGCTGAAATGGTCGAATGATTCTGCATACTTTGCTGTAATTGGCTCTTGTTTTTGTTTTGAATTTGCATTCCAGTGTATCATCTTTCCTTTGACAGTTTATACTGAGAAAATTTGAAATCATACTCTACTCAGTACAAATGAGTTCACTCTCTTTGATCGTTAAAGTGCATTTGTAGGAAAGCGAGAAATTCAATAAAGGCTTGCATTAATAGAAAATTCATTCAATATAATTTTGTGTGGTCTTATATCCCATATAAAGTTGCATTCATATCACCATGGATGTTGCCTGGCCATGATGTATCACACTGGCATTGAAGGATCAATTCCTATTTGATGTATTTTCAAATATAGTGAGTAAAGCTATCTAGAAAATGGGAAACACTTAGTAATTAGGAATTAGCATTAACTCTCTTGTTTCAGATGAAGGATATTGCAACTGAGAATTTTCAGCGGATATGTGAAGCATATGAGATTTTGTCTGATGAAACAAAGCGGCAGATATATGACATTTATGGCATGGAAGGATTAACCTCTGGTTTGGAACTTGGTCCAAAGCTGAGCAAAGCCGAAGAGATTAAGGAAGAACTCGAGAGACTACGACGCCAGAAGGAACTAGAAAAGGTTGCTGCCCATGTCCGCCCTTCTGGTTCAATTCTAGCAAATTTGTCATTGCCACAGTTTTTACAGGGTAAAGGCATTATGAAAGGGTACATATTATTCTTCTTCCATTCTTCGTCTTTTTATTGCTTCTATCCATGTAGTTGATATTGGTGCATATGAGAAATGTGAAGAGGTGTAACTTGGCGGGAGTTTTTTCATAGACATGCTGGTTTATATTGATTCCATTCAAGAACTGTATATAACCTGTAAAGCTATTATTCTCCCTCTATTGTATTTCCTAATCAACACCCCAAGCCTACCACATTTAGTGATTAAGTTGTGCTTAAGATGTTCCAACATGCCGGTCCTTATTACTAAACTTACTTTAAGTTACTAATCTCATGTTGGCCCTTGGTCATAGGACATATAAAGCTATCAGAATTGCTTTATTAAGTCCAATCTTATAAATTTCCCAAGTTGGAGATTCCTGTCAAGTTTTGTGTCTACAATATTACTATCTCCCATCTTATCCTTCTTTTTCTAAATGAATATCAGAATGGCCATGGCAAGTGATGTTCAGTCTCAGCTATCCAAAAACAATGCAATTGGTATAGGTGGGAATTTAGCTGTTAATGGAAACGCAGGTGGTGGTGTGGCTTCTGTTGTTTTTCGTCATCAGATGTCTTCTGTTTCTTCCTTAGAGTTCATGGGTTCTGTTGGTATGCGGGCATTGATAGGGGTACAAGCATCTCGGTAGGATGACTTCTCTTTTCTTGCGGAGCTTGTACTCTTGAAATTTTCGCTTGTATGATATTAACTCTGTTGTTGTCTCATTAGCAACTTATCGCTTCACTCTACTGCAACAATGGGTCTTGCCATGTCTCTAAGAGATGGTTCAATTAATCTTTCTAACATTTGGACCCGCCAACTCTCTGATACAACAAATGGAAATGTAAGCTTGTTTCTAGAACTGTAAAATTTATCATCTTCCTGTCCATGTTACATTGTTTTTATTCTCACAATTTGTGTATATTCTTCAATTCCGTTGCAAGTATATAGATCACTGTTTTTTTGCGGGGCTTTAATTACTCTGTGGATCAGTTCTGCTTTCAATGTAGCTGGATTCTGTTGTGGCAATATAGTGACATAGTGTATTTTCTGTTGCTAATTTGTACAACCTTTTGAACCTTCAGATTCAGCTTTCTTTGGGTACGGAGTCATCTGTAGCTGTTGGATGGCAGAAAAAAGAACAAAGAATGTCGGCTGCTGGAGAGATCAAGGTTCTAATAACTGTCACACCTCCTTTTGCTCAACATAAAATTTGACTTTGATGTTAGTGGATTGAAATTCTTCTTTATTAGTGGCTTTGTAATTTTTTGTGAATGACATCTGAATGGGAAGATGAATATTTAGATGTTTCACAACTAATATGATGACTAAGAATACAGTAAGGGTATATGATAAATCCCATACAATGTCTAACCTTTTCTTTGACTGTTAGCACTTTGTTTTTCTCTTATTTTGATGTGTCCCTGTGGAACATAAGTGTAATGTGTATTGGGTGGGGCTTAGGAAGGCAGTTGAATGTATGCTTAGAAGTTTGAACAATTCTTCTATCATCTAAAAGATTCATGGAAGACAATACTTTTATTCTTTTCCTCACTCTGTGTGATACAAGCAACTTAGTTTTGTTTACTATTTCCCAGCACTAATTGGGTTAGGCTTCCTCATTATCAACTAATTTTGATTTATAAATTTAAAACAAATGTGTTTCTATAGGATATCCTGCCCTGCACTAAAGTTTAAATGCATTAAGCCTTTTATTTCTAGAAATTAGTACTCTATATTTTCATCATTGCATTCTTATTTGGCTTACTGTAGATTGGCATGGGGTCCTTTGGGACATCGGCTCATTATACTCGCCGCTTTTCATCAAAATCTCACGGGCGCATTGCTAGCAGATTTGGAAGGTTTGCTGCATGTTTGTCTTTTCTCATTTATTTTTGAGGATAAAAGTTCAAACTTTACAAATCCCTTATTTCTTACCATTTATATTGTCAATTTTAGAATTCATTGTCTAAATTACTACTGTCAAAAATCTTGTATAGATGAACTATGGATAAATCTTTACTTGTAAGATGGCCAGTTAATCTTTATGTGATGCTGCCTTAGCTGCTTTAGATTTTTCATAGATCATACTTGTGTTGGAATATTCTATGGCCTCTATCTGGAAGATGACATATCAAGTATCTATGGGAGGTCAATAAATTACTTTGCTTTGTGATCATAGAAATGATAGAATTAGATAGATCAAGATTGAAATAACTGTATCAAAAGAGAAAGATGAACACAGATTTACGTGGTTTGGTCAATTGACCATCATCTGTGGGTAAAGACAACAATACATCCACTTAGGAGTATCCAGAAGGAGAGTACAAGAGGTTGTGATTCCACCTCAAATAAAGCCCCCAAAGCCCTAATTACAAAACCCAAATGAGAATGCCCATTTTCATGCATTTGCTAACCTCTCAAACTCTAGGGGGAGCTTTGTAAGCCATGCCATCTCAAATGCTTACAGACATATTTCAAAGGGTTAATCTCAAAAAATGGGATCTCAAAGAATTCAGTCAGAAATGGGTACTCATTCCCCAATTTGCACTTATAATATTCCCTTCACAGAGAACCAACTCACAGTCTCTTACGGTCTAACTATACCAAAGTGAATAATAGACTTATTTATAGGTGTAGAAATTGACCCTTAGAGCTTCAAATTTAGCCTTGACTACTCTGAAATGCATGTGCCTAATATTGGTACCCAAGTTGCCAATTATTCATTGTTTTGTGGTAAAGCACGTAAGTTGCATGTGATATTGCACCACGGGCGAGAACTCTAAAAAATCTCCAAAACATTATCTTCATGGCATTCATGCTATTATATTGGAGTATTATTTATTTATTTTGATTTAATATGAAATTCTCAATCGACTGTTATTGTAATAATTTAGTCAACTTTTAAAGATTCTCTAATTGACGCATTGAAGTCAATATGAATAGTCATTTTATTACTTTGATGTACAAACTTTATGTAAGTTTTCACGTAAACATTCTACTATCCTGCAATGTTGTTCCTTATAGTGATTTGCTTTTAGGAAATTGTATTTTTGATCAATTTTATGTTTGTCAAAGAACATTCAATAGATGACATAATAGTTTAGAATGCACAAATTTGTGTGCAATTTGAGTGTTTTTTGATTGTACATTCTCTTATTTTTTCAGGAATACAAAATTTCCCACTTGTCTATATTTCATTTTGCAGTACCGCACTTGAACTTGAAGTTGGGGGTGGAAGAAAAATATCAGAATTCAGCACTGTTTATATGCTGTATACAGTAGGAGTTCAGGTTGGGAGCTGTATGTGGACAAACAACTTTTCTCATCAGAACCTTTCCCTTCTAGAAGTTCCCCAACAAAGAATGGGGGGCAGGAGGGGAAGACACTTGGAATTATCAAAGAAGTTCTGCTATTTGAGATTTTAGATAAGAAAAATCTTTAAAATAATTTATCTTTCCCCTTTTTCTCAAAAACATGCTTACCTTAACCTCTTTGTTCTTTTTGAGAAAGAGGGGGCTCTTAAACGTAGTTTGAATTGGTATACAACTGATGTAGTTTCTAATACAGTTTAATCTTTACTATTGCTAGGGTATCTTTTGGAAATTTGAATTGCACCGTGGAGGCCAAAAATTGATAGTTCCTGTAAGTTTACTTGCAAAATTGTGTTCTATGTCTTGTCACTCTTGTGGAAACATTATTTGATAAAATTTCTGTATATTTGCATGCTTAATGAATGCCTTGTGATCAATTTGCTCCAGGAAAAGTTCTGGAGTTTATTATTGCTATGGCATGTAGAAAGTTGTCTGACAAGTAAAAAAGTAAACTTATTTGTAATGTTGAATTAGTTTATTATTGTAATAGTGGTAGTTTGGGATGCTATTTACTTGCATTCTTTTTTATGTTAGTAATACTGATGTGCAAGAAATTCAAATATCAGCTGATGATCCAAATATCCAATTTATTCTAGCTTGAAATTCTGTATATTTTACCAACCACACTGGTCTTGCCTAGAAGACTTCATCTTTGGCATACATTGAAGTCATAGAATAGATAATATGGCAACTTATGGTAAATTCAGTGTTATCAAGGCGTCGCCTAGGCTTCCGGTCGGTCGAGACCGAACGCCTAATGTGCTCGCCTCGCCTAAGTGCAGAATACAACCCAAAACTCCACAAAACATACATGGGCGGAACCTACACACTACGGTGAGTTGACCGGTGTAATTTTCAGCCGGAGAAGTAGCCGGAATCTGCCTCACGCGCCGGCGCGTGGCGTCAAAGCAGCGGCTCAACGGCGGCACGTGGTGACTCTGATGGCGGCGTGGTTAAAGCTCCGGCGTCGTCCTCCTGTTCCGAGCAAAGCCCACTACCTCACTCTGGCATGTTATCAATAAATACTAGACTTCTCACCACCCTAGGAAAAACTATTCATCTTCTCAAGACAACTTGAAGTAAATAGGGTTATAAAAAGGCTTCCCAAGACAAGATATTTTCAATATACAATAAATACTTGACTTCTCACTATCCTAGGAAAAACTATTCATCTACTTCAAGTAAATAGGCCAGCAAAAAGGCTGCCCAAGACAAGATATTTTCAATATATATATACTTTTTATTTTTTTAATACTCATCGACTAGGCGGTCGCTAGTTGACTAGGCAGTCGGTGGCATCTCGCCTAGAAAGTCCGCCTTGATAACCTTGGGTAAATTTATAAAAGGTACATGCAACCAAAGTTATTTGATGTATATTAATATCCCAATTAGACCGATATAGATATAATGCATCAATTTAAGTAAATGTGCCATTGTACCCAGAAACAACTGAAGTGTAATCATAGCATCTTGACTATCAAAAGAACACACTATTAATTGTTTACATCATGTTCGCATCCCTTATGGTTTGATGCTTCTAGTGGTTGGTTCTGAGTTTCTAATGTGATTCAATGCAGATATTGCTTTCCAGGCATTTGGACCCTTTGTTTGCAACTGGGGCCTTTGTCATTCCAACATCGTTTTACTTTATATTAAAGGTTTGCAGTTCAAATTCTTATACCTATTTGAACTTTTGGTTGTGTAGAAGCTATTGTAATTTATAACTTGATTCTTACGGTATGACTTCCATTCTTTGCATTGAGGAATGCTGAGTTCCATTATTGGCTCACATGCATTCCTCACAGATACACGTGTTACGTGTATATAGATGTAGGTGGGTTAGAGGTTTTGTTTCTTTCTCAAGTCTTTTGTCTTGGGAGTGGGTTTGTGGTTTTACAATTTACATCTTTCCATTAGTTAAAATGTCTCCTTTGTCATTCTTGTGGCTGTTTAAACTTTAAAAATTAAGATGGTAGCAGGATTTTGAAATAAACTAGCCTACTAA